GTTGAGAGGCTGGGACACCTGAGCAATCGTCGGGGATGACAAACGCTCAACCTCCATCATACGGTCAGCCATCTCCGCTAACTTTGATATTTCTAGGTCGTCGGAGCCAGAGGCCAAGATTGTTTGTACAGACGTCGGCAGACGTTCTAAGAACTTCTCTTTAAAGAACTTGTCGTCGATTTTCATGTTCCCAATCAGAGAACGCATGCGACGCAAGAGTTCCGACGGCTTGCGATCACCTAAGGCCTCCTCTTTTACTAGTGCGTGATAACGCTGCCGATCGGAGACTGATGTCAGGCGAAGAAGTTCAGCCTTTAACTTAGTGTAAGGAGCATCATTCGGGGGATCCCTCAGAAGCGTCTGCACTTGAGAAAGAATGGTGGGAGGGAGGGCCTCGACCAGCTTATAAAACTTGTCGGTTTCACGTGTTATCTTGGCGGAGTGAAAAGTCGCCTCAATACGGAAAAAATAAAGCTCTGGCGCATGTTGCCAAAAATCTGGGAGGGAAGAAACAAGTCCACTGAGAGAAGAAGTGGGATCATTGGAATTCGTAGAGGACATGATTGTAGAAAGAAAGAAGGCAAACGGGCGGTATGCAAATTGGAAGTCGACTAATTAAAGGTATAAGCGTGAACGTCAAAGGGTCACCACTGTCGAGAACGCTAAAGACAGAACCGTCAATCCCAGACTATAAAAATCAGGATAAGACCAGAGTTATGGAAGAATTAATAATCAAAAGTCAAACGACCTGACAATCCCACTCATGCCAAGCGCGTCGCGTCGAGTTGTGTTCATTCCATTCAGTTAAACAACCAGTAAGTTCAAGAATGAGGAACAGGTAGGGAAAGGCAAGATAATCTGGCGCCTCGGCACACCCGATCTCTGTCAGTTATTAGTTCGTGCTTTCCTCTGATAGACATTATCAAATATTTTGTGGGCCACAGCTGGTTGACTGCATAGCAAATTGGCGCGTTTCCCGTCAGTTTCCTCCGATAAGTGAAGCATTGCATTTATCTGGATATTCTTAAGCAATTAATGCCTGTTTTTTACTCGAGTCCCTTTTAAAAGTTACCTTTCAATATAAGGCAAAATTTTTCCCAGTTTTGTTTGACAGTTTGGTAAAATAGTCGTATTTTGTAAAAAAAAACCTTTGTAGTGACTCCTTCCCCTACTACCTCTTTCTAGTTTTCGTAGTTAAATAACAATAGTACTTGCTATTCAGTGCGCCTTTCCGTACGTTGGCAAAGTTTTGATCCTTCTTCTATAAGGAAAAACTTTTCTTGTCTGTAATGCCCCGCAGAACACGTGCTAAAAGGCGAAAGCTTGCGGCCTCCCCACCGTCTCTGGGTGCTAAAATCGTGACTGAAGGCATTGCAGGTGCCAGCGTATGTTCTTCGCCGTCCGCAGATCTGATTAATTCACAAATCCCTTTAGTACATATAGAACCTCTTGACCCTTCAGTCGTCCAAAAATACGCCTCTGCTAGTCGTAGCAGGCCATCAGCCGGCGAAATAGTCGATCAGTTGATTTATGGCGACATAAACAGCACTTCTGAAAAAGTAATTGAACAAGCTTTTAAATTTATTGGGGTAATCAGTTCGGAAACTGAGGAAAGAATTAAACGCAAGCATAATTTCGTACTGCGAAACATTCCGAGCCACTTATCTGCTATGGAGGGAGCGCATTTGTTCCTACAAAGTTGTGGCTTGAGTTTCAGTGT